ATCTAATTTATGAATGCTCCTATACTTATAATGATGCACGCTTTCTCCGATACACTGTTGACTGTGCCTCGCGCGCCGAGGATAAAATGATTAAATTTTCACAAGCTATTGCTAACCCATCTCCATGCCTCTGCAGACTCATTCAGAACTTTAGCAAATTCTGTGGCAGGCAATTTTGAGCTTTATATTCTCGCGCCCCTTGAGACCTGCGCATGCGCTCTGCCTTGCCTTTGCCCTTCCCTTCCCATCCTAGTTTCCCTTTGCTTTATACTTGGCACACTGTCGCGAGGTTCTATGCCGGAGCAATCTGCTCCAGAGTTGGAACTTCAGTTTGCATTAATTCATGTTTTGTTCTCACCTTTTTTATTAAAGACGTTAAACTTTACGTGATCTGGCTAAATCGACCTCCTATTGTATTTGGAGGCGATAGCCATTAATTAAAGAAGAAGAAGAAGGACTGTGTACAGAGCATTAAGGTGAGAGAGACAGCGGAAGACGGAGCCGATTAAAAAATCGACCGAAAGTTGCATCGCGTGCCGAACCCTGCATTAATTCATTAGCGTGTTTATTCAATTATTTCATCATTTATAGATTATAACAATTCATTAGATTGCTTATTTATATATTAATTAATTCACACATACGTCTGTTTGTTTCTTCGTTCTCTGCAAAATATCACTATAATTAAAATTTTCTTTTCGAGTCACTCGAGGTGTCGTATTCGTGTCCCACCAATGAAAAACTGATATTTTTTCAAATTAGATACTCTAATAATTGTGTTTAAACTATTAATTAATTAAATATTTATATACTTACAGTCTTTACTACTTTCGTTGCTCATTTTACGACTTTTATTGTAGACCCCGCATAAGGAAATGCCACTTACGTAAATAAAATTTCTATTGAAACTCGTTTCTATAGAAAGAGAAACATGAAGTGTATCAAACAAGATTCAGTATCAATTTCACGACGCGAAATAGACCTATGTAAACCTGGCACCCGACTTCAAAAAAACAATTTTTTTTTCATTGAATAGAGCTAGGTTTGTACCAGATTGTACCACCGTTATGTTTGTTTGTACCTCAAGGAGTTGAGAGAAAAAAAATTTTAAGAAAAGTTAGCACTGCACATTGAGATGTTGAAATTTTCCAAACGCCATTAGATTCAGAATCGTTTGTACCCGTTTGTACCGCAGTTTGTTTCGTTTGTATCCTCAAGGGGGTGATTGTACCGAATTTTCAAAATAGGGGTGAGTGCTAACTTCACCAATTTTGAAGATACCTTAAATCTGTAAACGGGTGCTGTTTCTGCATCGCTTGTAGACGTTTATACCACCAGCGGTTTCGTTTGTACCCTCAAGGGTGTGATTGTACCGAATTTTCAAAATAGGGGTGAGTGCTAACTTCGCCAGTTTTAAAGATATCTTAAATCTGTAAACGGGTGCTGTTTCTGCATCGCTTGTAGACGTTTGTACCACCGTCGGTTTCGTTTGTACCCTCAAAGGCTACGCCGCCCCGAGCGAAAAAGAAGATAAATGTTAAGAAAACCCCGTCCACCTCAAATTTTGATAAAAATATACTCAATCGATGCATTTTTGCACCAAACGAAAGAATCTGGCAAAAAAAGGTGTCGCTCTGTCTCGCGAACCGAGATATTAAGCGTTAAAATAAACGAGTATTCAGGTTAAGAAATCTGTCACAGCCCCACACACACACACACACACGGGGAGGGGTGCAAGAGGGTGGCCTTCGGTCACTCCTCCCGTATCCACCTCGTCGGCAGAGGTCTCCCCCAACAGTACAATCTTAGAAGTCGTGTCCCCCTTTGCAGGGGGTGGGGAGGTGAGAGTTATTTCGCGTGAAAAGTTTAAGTTTCTAAATAGGGAAAGGTGTATAATAGTACTTAATATCATACATGTACAGAAGAAATAATATCATATACACCCCTCTCGCATCTACCCCGTCGGCAGAGGTCTCCCCCAACAGTACAATCTTAGAAGTCGTGTGCCCCTTTGCAGGGGGGTGGGGAAGGTGAGAATTATTTCGCGTGAAAAGTTTAACGTTTCTAAACAGGGAAAGGTGTAGAATAGTACTTAATATCATACATGTACAGAAGAAATAATATCATATACATGTATGATATCAATTATTATTCTAATTGCTATACATGTATATGATATTATTTCTTCTGTACATGTATGATATTAAGTACTATTCTACACCTTTCTCTGTTTCGAAACGTTAAACTTTTCACGCGAAATAATTCTCACCTTCCCCACCCCCCGCAAAGGGGCACACGACTTCTAAGATTGTACTGTTGGGGGAGACCTCTGCCGACAGGATGGGTGCAGGAGGGGGGGCCGAAGGCCACCCCCTTGCACCTCCCCCCTCCGTGTGTGTGTGTGTGTGGAGCAGTGACAGATTTCCTAACCTGAATATTCATTAACTTTAACGCTTAATATCTCGGTTCGCGGGGCAGATCGACACTAATTTCTGCCAGATTCTTTCGTTTTATGCAAAAACGCGTCCAATGAGCCTAATTTTATCAAAATCGGAGGTGGTGGGGGTATTCTGCATAATTACCATCCACTGGTATATGGGACCTACAGTTTTTAATGCCGAATCCCCGAACGGCTATTTTCCAGAAGAGGTTCTCATGGCAAAAATGATCTCAGTGGTTTGACATTGCCTTCCAACATATTTTTATTGCCTTTTATATTTTTATGTATATTAATTGTGATATTTTTCTTTTTTGCAAGAACACTCGTTTCGATGTGTTTAATGGTTTTGTGTTGCGATATAGATCTTTATGAATTTCCCATTTACCTATCAATCTTTGTATATGTGCTATGTAATGACCCACTGTATTCTCTTTGTGTATTCCTTCATATTCTATTGCAGGAAGCAATCTGTATACGTGATTATGGAATTGAATTTCATTCGGTATTTCACTCAGTGTAAATTCTCCTTCCCAATTAAGTATATTGAGATTTTTTGCAAGATCTGGCCACTGTAAGCATTCTATGTCTATAAATAGAAGCTGACCGCAGGAACTGGAATATTCGATATTTTCGTCATTGCAACGGGTGCATTTCTTATTGCTGTAAAGATATTGATCATTCACAGAGCTTTCTAAAGCAGTCATACGTTTTGTGTAAAATGATTTTGAGTTAATTTCTAAAACGTTATACTTGTCTTCTCTTGTGTATTGACAATGGTGGCAGTTGATACTGATTTTGCATGAAAATTCGTTCTTTAATAAGTGATTTGCAACTAAAGTAGAGATATTGTATTTGTAATCCATTGTTCCACGTAGAGAAGTAACGAATTTATTTAATATCGATGTCCTTGCTTTGTATATTTTTATGGACGGTCTATATATCATTAGTTCTTTTATGAACTGGAACATGTCGTTTTCTGTTTGCTCTAAGTAAACATGAAGTTTGCCCAATCGTAATACGCAACCAATAGTGCCTTTTTTTTTTGTTACCGAAGGGGAAATCTTCCAAAGACCCCCGGGGGAACCGCCCCCGGAGAGTGTCGGATTCACCGCCGGTCAGGCGAACCTAACCGACGACGCCTACCGACTAAAACCCCTCCGCCATCATCCCAGCCCCGCTCCGAGATCGGCCCGGAACCTCACAGCTGTCCCCCCCCCCCCCCTCGGCACTGGTCCGGCTGAGCCGAACTACCTCCCTCTCTGTAGCGGCGGGTGGTGAACCCGCCCGGCTCCGCAAGTGGGTAAAGCTGATGTCCCTTAGGACGGGCCGCTCGAGGCCTCGGAGGCTCCGAGGTACAACGAGCCTAGCCCGCCTGCCCGACCGCACTCTGGATCCCCGAATCTGCTCCCTCATCACAAGGAGGAGACTTGGTATCGCGACGACGGGACTGCTGGGACCCCCTCTGGGAGACGCTCCAGCACCATCCTCGGTTCAGAAAGAGCCGAGGTGCCCGGAGCTGTCTCGTCCCCCGTTCGCGTCCGTTTCACAAGGGAGCCCTCGGGTAAATATTATTCAATATAATATAAAATATTTATTAACAATATATATATATATATATATATTGTTAATAAATATTTTATATTATATTGAATAATATTTTATTTTTAATTATAAGATTTTAAACCGCGCGCGCGTCATATGTGATACACAATGCAACATTAGATATAGATAGATAGAGTGAGATGATAGATAGAGTAAGATAACACATAAAGTCAAAGGTCCTCTATTAACGGAAAAACGAGATGGACATTTCTCTCTGATCGACGACGTTAATAATGATGATGATGACGACGTTTCTTAAAAATGAAACGTGAAAATTCACAGATTCGGACTTTGCGTCGCGATATCTCCGCTCGTTGAGCACGTAGAAAAAAAATGAAAGCACTTTTATGATACAATTTTAGTATTTGCTATCGATTGAGCGTATGTAGAACTTGATCGGTTCAGCCGTTACTGAGATCTGATCACCTCGACCCCGAAAAATTCTCAGTTTCGCGTAAAGGAGGCACGGCAGTGTCGCGCGCTTGGCTTAGACACTACCGTGTCTCCAGATTCACTCTTTAACATATCTTATATATGATCGCATTAATAACAGCGAATAGCTCTCATTAGCCGTTATATTCTTGTTATTTGAAACTTTCGAGAGTTTTCTTTAATTGATTTGTTGAAATATGTTATGTTTTAAAACTTTTGAACTTTGTTAACAATCTTGTAATGAACAACGAGCAACGATTAAAACTTATTAGAGATTACTCAGTGTCTTGACTTCGACATATGTCAAAATCAAGGTCATTTAACAGGACTTCTCTAAATAAGATATTTACCATTTTGGGCAGAAAAAATTCAGAAATTTTTTTTGTTGCACTGAAAAATGCAACAGTATGGTATTCTATTGTTCTATTAATCTCGTTAGCCAATGTAGGCTCGTAGCCTTTCTTAACATATTTTTATTTAATTCTTATTCATAGGTAAAATACATAATTAGAATAATGTTTTGCAGTATGTGCCTATTAATGTGCCTAATCAGTGCTGAGATTTGGGGTTTTTGGCGCGATTTAAGAGATGGATGGGAACACAGCACTCGACTCAAATCACAGAACGCAGTCATTGTGACTACTAGCGATGTAATGGGTGTAATTAGTCTCACAGCCTCTTCTATCGTCGGATCCATTCTATGTTGGAAACACGTGCAAACTATTATCGATAAATTGGTTGATGTAAGTCTTACAATTAATTAAATATTATATTATTGCAATTGATATTCATATTCAATTCATTTGCATTAAAGTGCGACGAGAAGCTAGGAATCGTTTCGCCGAAAAAACTTCGACGATACACAATCCTTTTGACACTCTGCAGTCTTCTCTATTCCATCATCATTTCATGTCTCGATATTTACACATGGAATTATGAAGTGAAACTGAACAAGAAATTGAGCGACAAAGGTCCACTCAATTACGTTCCTCTGTACTTCATGTATATAGTCATCATTATGATGGAAGTTCAATACGCCGTTGTTGTCTACAATGTGAGCCAAAGATTCTGCAGACTTAATAAGAACCTTGAGAACATCTTTAACAGTGGCAGGATCACAGATCAATTTAAAAAAGATCTTGGATTAGGTGCGCATATTACTCATTATTACAAACCACATAGCAAGTAATATCACAATAATATCACAGTAATATTGCAATTACCGGAAATATTACGTATTATAATATTATATCATAGAAATATTATTAATAAACGTTGATAACAAACATTGAAATATCATAGTAATGTTATAGTAATATAACGTTTTGAATAACAGAGTGATATTATATAATAATTAATAATGAAATATATTATATTTCAAAAAACACAAGCACACCAAAGGATTAATTTTTGGTGACTGTTAGTTACCAAACCGATCCAGTATCCGAAAAAGAATTGAAATAGGTTGAAAATTTTTAGTCTATTTTAATTTATTTGAATCAAAATTCTTGATTCATGCATATGGATAGAAAGAAATTAAATGTAGTAAAATTGAATAATTTTCTATCCATATGGATAAAAAATCTTTGTGCATTGTTGAAGTAAAAATGTATAACTTTGTACCTGTGTCACAAATGAAAGTAGATTCATGATCTGCGAAATTTTTTCTATTGAAAAGAATAAGATCATCTATTATAGAGCCACATCCCTAGTTTCGAGGTTCTCGAATCTATTTTAGACTGAAAGAATAGCAATTACGTCATTTTAATACAATGTCAGGGATTAAAACGGATTACGTTTTTTATTTCATTTGTCTGGTTAAATCATATAGATTTGCCGAATTTAGTTGTTCATCAATAAATGAGGATTTCCATAAGATTTTAAATAACTTTGAAATTTTAGGCACAAAGGAGATAATGTATTGGATAGCCTTTGCTGAGTATATGAATAACAGAGTGATATTATATTATATAATAATTAATAATGAGATATATTATATTTCAAAAAACACAAGCATATATTAGGTGTAGTAAAAAGAAATCCATTATTTTTGCATGAAATTGAAGGCTTTATTTAATATAGTTAGAATGATCCGATTTAGATCAAATATGCACCGTTTTGTTCGATAACTTGTTGCCATTTTGAAGGTAATTTCATTATGCCTCTCTCATAGAAACCCTCATCCCTATTGGCAAAAAACTGAGACAGTCGATTTTCACAAGCTTCTCTTGAGGCGAATTTTTCACTAGCAAAATCATTCGCCATAGACAGGAATAGATGGTAATCACTTGGAGTCAGGTCCGGACTATAAGGTGGATGCATAAGAACCTCCCAACCAAGCTCCCGGAACTTTTGGCGAGTCACTATCGATGTGTGTGGTCTTGCGTTGTCCTGATGGAACACAATTCCTCTCCTATTGGCCAACGCTGGCCGCTTCTGGGCGATTGCTTCCTTCAGACGGTCCAATTATTAACAGTAGAGGTCCGAATTAAGAGTTTGACCGTAGGGGAGCAGCTCATAGTAGATGATTCCCTGCCAATTCCACCAAACACACAGCAAAACCTTCCTGACCGTCAATCCTGACTTGGCCACCGTTTGCGCCGGCTCACCGAGATCATTTTCGCTTGACGTTGTCGTAAGTAATCCACTTTTCATCACCAGTCATCATCCGCTTCAGGAATGGGTCGATTTTGTTGTGATTCAGCAGCGATTCGCAGATGGAAATTCGATCCATGAGATTTTTTTGCGTTAACTCGTGTGGCACCCATACATTAAACTTCTTTTTATATCCAGCCTTATTCAAATGGTTCCGAACGGTTTTTTGTGCAATGTTTAGCTCCTGGGCAATCGAAACAGTGCTTACATGACGGTCGGACTCGACAATTTCCATTATTTTATCGACATTTTCGACAATTGGCCTTCCAGAGCGTGGTGCATTTTTGACATCAAAATTACCGGAACGGAATTGACGAAACCAAAATTGCGCGCGATTGACTGTTACAGTATCAGGACCGTAAACACTATTCACATTTTCAGCCACCTGGCTTGCGTTTTCGTCTTTATCGAAGAAAAACTGTAAAATATAGCGTATTTTCTCTTTGCTGATGTCCATCTTTGACGCGCGCTCAAACAATACTGAGTCAAGCAATCACAAAACTGTCTGAGAAGTTTTTTGGAATTAAAACACACACACGCACGCACACGCGCGAACACACAAACAGCGCGCGCGCATACACACAGCGCTCATAGCGCACACATACACGTGTGCGCATATATAAGGAGATGTTTACGTATACTACATGTAAATGCCGGGTGTATTACTCAGAGGTGTTTGAATTAGGCCAATATTTTATTATATACGATATGTCACGAAGATATGGTGACTGTTAGTGTGCGTATGACTGCCCACACATCTGTAAAAGTAGAAGAATTGGAAAAGCAAAATGAAAAAAATTTAATTCCATATATTCAACAAAGGCTATCCAATACATTATCTCCTTTGTGCCTAAAACTTTAAAGTTATTTAAAATCTCATGGAAATCCTCGTTCATTGATGAACAACTAAATTCGACAAACCCATATGATTTAACCAGACAAGTAAAATGGGTGCATGAAATATAGTACATTTTAAAAAAAGAGCACGAGAAACAATTAATTGGATGGAATAAAGGAAGAATGATGCTTTACAATGAGTGCTTACGATAACTCGAGTTCGGGTTAGTTTCACTAGGACCGAAAAATATGGTAGACGTTACCACCTAGCACTTTCATGATTCATGACAACTCAACGCTGTCTTGTATTGCCATTGAGTTGAGTTAAGTATGTAACGTGCAAAGGCCTTAACTCAACTCAATGGCAATACAAGACAGCGTTGAGTTATCATGAATCATGAAAGTACAGGTGGTAATGTCTACCATATTTTTCGGTCCTAGTGAAACTAACCCGAACTCGAGTTATCGTAAGCACCCAATACTTTACATAATGGATGTCTTCCAACAAGCGATGAAACGGTGTGATATAATGTATCAGTACATTTTTGTTCGCCAATGTTAAACAAGAATGAAATTATCACTGTAATGTACTGTGTCGCTTGTTGAAAGACACACAATATAATTAAGTAAAAGCTACAATTTCTTCTACTATTTAAAATAATTCAGTAATATTTTATAAAAATAATTTACATACAGCGGTTCTTTTATTTTTTTCCGGACTCTAATTTTCTAATCTTAGTAAACGCAATATTTTCTCTGGGACTATTTTTTGTACTAGATTTCGTATTTGCTGGATTACGCGCATCTTTTATTTTCTGTTTGTTTTTTTACCCTACATTAATTGCGCGCATATGTCTACTTTTATGTACAGTAACCGGAATTTTGAGAGTCGGCACAACTTCGTCGCGTCTTCCAAAAGAAATCTACTTATGCGAAAGCTCTTAGTTAGAATACAAAATACTTAAAGAAGCAATAGTGCAGTTCTTCATTAATTCTTTCGTGATTCGAGAATTTACAGTAGTTGACAAGTTACTTTACTCAGCAAAGATCTTAATCGCTATCAAAAATTCGTTGGGCCCCAGGCACGAGAGAGCGTGCCACTCTTCGCACAAATCGTTAGATAAATTGCTCGGACAAGAAATTAGAGATTACGCGGATTCTCGCGACGGAACTAAACAATGATAACAATAACAAGAAATCGATACATTTGATAGAGACTGTACAAAAGTGTTCGAAAGAAAGTACGTTACAGCGTTGACTTCCGCACTCTAGTATGCGGCGCAATAACAATAAACCGACTATTAACTGGCCGTCGACAACAGGAAGTAAATTCGGCAATACTTCGCCGAGCAGAAATATGCGAATCTAGATCTTATTATGTTAACAGTAATTACTTCGTGAACAATTAGAACATACGATTTTACATTAGACGGCAACGGTTCTCTAATGCGCAATAACGCCAGTCTCGACTTTAAAGAATTCTCAATAACTAACAATTGAGGAGCTGCGGCGAATAACGAAATAACTCGAATTATTTCGTTTTTTATATTATTCCATTAATAAAATATGTACTTGTAGCTACATATTTTGACATAATTATTTTAGTGTAAATCTGTTTTTTTTAACGCAAAACTGAATGCGATATTCGGAAAAACGGAATAAGTCGAATTATTCCAGTATAGATTAAAACGATTATTTTTTTTGGTACGAGAACATATTTCAAGAAGTGAATGATTCTGCGGCTAAAAACAATTATGCGTTGTCGAAAAAAGTTAAAAAATGTAAGATTTCATCAAAAAATATCAAAAAATAATCATTTCCCAACAAAAAGTAATATATAAAAATTTCATTTGTCATTAAAAATACGAATAATTATGCAGAAATTATTTTCCTATCCATAAGTAAGTGCAATATATGAAAATTGTGTCAATAATATGAAAAACGGAATAACTCGAAATTTACGATCCAGTTTTTTACTGATTTCTGTATAATTTTTTGTATTATTCTATAATGATTTAAGGTATAATATCATTATCTAACTATCAGCCAAACAGTTTTTCGATATAATATGTATAAAGTACTTTTCTACGTTTTTTGCGTTTTTCTCAAAACGTCATTTTTCGAGTTATTCCGTTATTCGCCGCATCCCCTCAATTACACAAGTGACTTGGCGGCAACGAGAGCGAGCAATTACTCTATTATACATTCTCAAATTAGAGCATCTGAGCGGAAGGCACGTATTCACGGCAACACTGACTCGAAACGCCTATAGGCGACCGATCCGGTATCGGCAACAAAAAATCGGAGTAAAGCCTAACGTGTGGTCCGCTCGAGACGCATGTCCTTTACCGCGATCGGTGGTTTTACACAAATTATAAGATAACGCTCGCCTCACCACGTAACGATCCCTCATTGATCCTTCAGAGGAAAACCTCCGTTTCTAAATTTCTCGGCAATGGTAGACAGCGTTCTCAGTTCCCGATAGCTCCGGAGATCCCGTGTCCTCTTTACAGAAACTCGATCACCGCGCAAGTGATAATCGGGAGCATTCGCGGATCCACGCAGGCCGCTAGACCCTCTCCTATCGGGCCGCTCCTTATTCTAATTGGTCTGTTGGAGCCACGCAACCCCGCAACCAATTACAGTGAGTCCTGCGGGTTGCGTATCCTTTGAATATTTATGATAAGGCTCAATAAG